CATCTTATTAAGTTCAAAGCAATCAAGATAAATTCAAAGCAACAAAAACAATAATAAAAACGTGAAAGCAAAGAAAAACACAAAACTTGATGTCGAAATCAATTTATTCTTTTAAGCAATCAGAAGTTTCATAATCCATAAGATCATCTTGATCATGGTCAAAGTCACCACCGCTATCTTGGACCAAATGGGCTCTGGATTCTTCCCATTCTGACTTTCTTGGTAGACGACAACAAGATGTCTGGGATTTATGCATGTCCTAACCCAATGATTCCCCATTCCACATCTGTGGAACACTGATTTGGTCGAGTATGGTAGTTTAGAAATACCTCCATGCCCTCTGCCTTGACCACGGCCGGCCGAAATTGGGTCCACGACCACGGTTATAGTGGTTCCCCCGGCCCGGTGAGTTATAGTTTCCGCGCCCACCACACCCTCTCCATCCACCACGGCCATGGCCATGTGGTCTATCACTCTGGACGTGGTTACTTTCTTTAGATTCTTTCTTTTCTTCTGCGTCCTTATTGGCTTCAGGTAATGGGGCTGATCCATGAGGTCTCAGTTCACAATTTCTCGCTCAGCTAGCAATAGACATGAGATCAGACTTGCATAAGTGGTGAAGCCCTTTTGATCTTTACTATGCCAAAATCAGTATGATCGAGGCAAATGCCATGGTAAACAAAGTGTGTACCCACGAAAATTTCACTAAATGGTACAGCCGGCTTATGGCCATCCTGGTTCAAACATGATGTGAAAATTGATATCTAATCCAAAATTGCACACATTGAAAGAAAGAAAAGTTATCCCAAAGAATCTCACGTGTGAAGCATGTACACAAGGGAAACTCATTGATAGGCCATCACCAGTCAAAGTGACTAAGTAAATAATAAAATGGTGAATTCATATCCCAAGCCTTTAATGATTGTTGTATGTCTATGGGGGCAAGTGTGGAACATTGGCGCATGTCCATACATAAAACAGCTTGGCCGAATCTTTTAATAAACGCATACAGCTGATTGCTAGACCATTACTCATGAGGTCAAAACCCCCAGTCTCAGCTTGGGATCACAAATTTTTACATGCATCTGAGTTAATACGCATCAAGCCATCTAGTGAGCATAGATATCCCCCATCTCGATTATTAATGGGTTAAGAGCCAGACATATCCCATCGTAAGATATTTGGATGTGCCATCTATGTACCAATTGCTACACCACGGAGAACTAAGATGTGACCTCAAAGGAGGATGAGGATATATGTTGGATATGATTCTCCCATGATTATTAAGTACCTAGAGCCGACTATTGGGTGATCTATTTAAAGGCCAGGTACACGGAATGCAAGTTTAATAAATCCGACTATCCAACATCAGGGTGAGAAAATAATAAGCTGGTAAAAGAAATAACATAAAATCAACCATCATTGTCTTGGCAAGATCCTCGGACTAAAGAATGTGAATTAGACGTCCAAAAGATTATACATTTACAAAGGCTATCTAATCAATTTCCAGACTCATTTGCTGACCCGAAAAGAGTGACTTAGTCATATATACCAGCTTGTAATGCAACAAATTCAAATTTGATGTCCAAGAGAGACACAGTCAAGTTGCTACAGAGTCTAAATAATGTATGAAACATGGTAGACCAATAGGTTCCAAAAGATAAGAATCCTCGGAAACAAAAGAAAGATGCAGAGAATGATAATAAATCCGAGGTCGAGGAAACAATCCCAGACATAGACATGGCCAGCCGTAAGATACCATATAATGTGGCTTGGGACGCCTAGCTGCATGGTACTAAAGGTCTTGAAAGAATCAGATTGCAATCAAATATATCATGTTTGGAATATAATGGAACCGAAAGAAAAGATGTCGACATAAGATAATTTATATACATACAAGGTATCACTTGAACTTATGGATATAAGCGATGATCATGAACCCACGTCAATATAAGAATGCGCACTCATAGAAAAGATTGGATTAGATGAAAAACATGGGGTTAAATACTTTAAAGAAGAGAGGCGTATTTGACCATATGATTAAGATGCCATATGATATTAAACCAGTGGATATAAATGGATTTTTGTGAGGAAGAGAAATGAAAAGGTGAAATCGTGAAATATAAGACATAATCACGTGGTCTAAGTTGTCTGTTTTTTACTTACAGCATTCAAGCACAGCTTGTTGCACAAGGATTCTCACAGAGATCATGAATAGATTATGAGGAGACATACTCCCCTGTGGTGGATGCTACTACATTTTGATTTTGATAAGTCTAGCCAGAAGAGAGAAATTATATTTGTATCTAATGGATATAGTAACTGCATACTTATATGGTCCACTGGATAATGAGGTATACATGGAAGTACCAAATGGTATTGAGCTCAAAGATAAGAAAAACAACATTGTATAAGGCTGAACAAATCTATTTATGGACTAAAACAAAACAGCTGCATATAGTAAAATAGACTAAGTGAATACTTACTGAAAGAGGGCTATAAGAATGACCCAATCAGTCCATGCATATTTATAATGAAATTCAGCCATGTTTATTTATATTAACCAGCCCAAAGAGGGGTTAATTGGTTTTGTTGATACAGATTATCTTTCAAATCTCAAACAGGTTATTTTTACATACGGTGTGACTGCAATATCTTGGCGATCCATATCATTGCAGCAACATCATCAAAGCACACCATCGTCCCTGAGCCATATCATTGCAGCAACATCAGACTGCAATATCTTAGCTATTCATGAGGCGCCGAAGAGAGTGACCGGAAGTATGTTTGATCGAGGACCATAACCCAACATGTCCGATCATAGTATGGAGTGGTCGACGGCAAAGAAGCACATACTGCCCAAGTTTTCCTTACCCACGAGTTGCATACAAATGGCAAGGTCCAAGTACTTCAAATTTCAACATCAACTTTCAGTGAGGTTCATATCAGGGAAAGTAATACGTGTTGTACTATTTTTCCTTTCTATGGTTTTATCCCTTTTTACTTTAAAGGTTTTGGGTTTTTCTCTGTTCTAAAACGCGGACACCTAACCGCCCGCTTAATCGCTATTCGAACTTCACCCGCCACAATTTCACCTTAATCGGACAAAAAAATCAGAAACCAATTAATCGACCCAAAAACTAATTAATCGGCGTGCCAAATGATTAATCGGCCTAATTTTTTTGGGTCAAACTAAAACTTAAACTTATAGACATTGGTTTGGACCACTAGGAGACAGCGACCTCATAGACATATTATGCATCTGCTACTATATATACACTTATAACTATTAGTAAAAGCTTAAAAACCTAGTCCCCGATTTGTTTTGTAGGCGCTAGACCCAACCCGAGCGCCCGACTAGCGCCTAGTGAGTTCTTAAACATGGGTTTTACCCGGTTTTATCCCTTTGGGTTTTGGATTTTTCCTGGAAAGGTTTTAATGAGGCAACATCCAAAGCGTATTACAAACTCTAATGGTTATGGCATCCAAGAGGGAGTGTTATAAACCCTATTGTGGATTGCCCTAACTAGGCCGGATAGTCTTAACCGGCCCATAGACCAAACCTCCTAATCCTTTTCCCTTTTCTCATTGTATTAGGTTTTATACTATTTTCTTTTCCTTATTAGTTTAGGATTTGTAATCTTTCCATATTTCTATATCTTGTAGTTTTTATATTAAAGGACCTTATGTTATGAATGAAATACACAACCATTCCCCATACTTTCACAACAATCTACTCTATTAAAATAGTCATTCTTTTTATCTATTGATACAAATTGTTATTTATATTTGGATTTTTTAGAATGTTACAAATAATTCAAGCCATATAGTTGATTAAATCGAATTACTTAAATTAAACTAGCGGTTATTTATGGGTTAGAGTCTTGAACTTACTTTTGTTTTTAGGAAATATTATATGGTTTTGGTTTTGGGCTTAGTATTAAGGAAAAACTCTAGAAAAACATTGAATAAACTTTTAACTTTAATGGAACAAAAAATCAATTACTATTTTCAGGTCCAAAAATATTTAATATTTTTAATAAAACAAAATTGTCTATTATTAATCACTTATGTAAATCATGTACTTTAAAACATGTTAATGTATTTTTTCTTTTTAAATAACAATCACTCTGTTTTGATAAATTTCAGTGGTAACTTTTAAATAGTTTATTGTTTTTATTTCTTAAATAGTTTACTGATTTAAAAAATAAATAAATGTAAAGCAAAACCAAAAACCAAATCTAAAAACTAAAATCCAAAACCATAAGCCGAAAACGCAGATTATATATTTGCTTTTGTTTATTTACAAAATAAACTATTGCTCTTTTAAAAAAAAAAGTTTGTCATCTTTTCAGTTTAAATTAGATGTTTGATTATTTGGGATTTGTTTGTTGGTAATATCAATCTAAATTAACTCAACAGATCTAAAAACTAAAAACCCAAACCAAAAGCTGAAAATCAAAAATAAAAACTTAAAAACTAAAAACCAAAATCTAAAACCAAATCTGAAAATAAAAACTGAAACTAAAAACTATTGCAAAACAATCATCAACAGAAATTTTGGATTAGTGATTTTATACCAAAACATAATTTAAGTAAAATCAAAACCCAATTATATAAATTTTCAATCATAAAAAATTCCGCGTTTGAAAATCGCGGGTCAAAATCTAGTTCAGCTTTAAAATTAAGCTAATATTAGTTACATAATTGATGTCCCATAAATCCCAATGACGCAAGCTCATACGTGCTGATTGATTTAAACCATTGATCGCTAGAATCAAGTATAAATCATCATGAATCAATCATACAGTTTTCAGTTGAACGTCTAACATCACATAATATCACAAACAACCTCCAAGTCCTTTGGTGACTCCCCACCTAAATCACCGACGAAGACTTTTCCCTACTTTCTGTCCACCTTAAATTGTTGCATCTCCTGCTTATAAAATATGAACTCGATTATCTAAACCAAAGCAAAAAAAAAAAAAACAGACATAGCCATGTTTGCCAAGCTACTCACCATTGTCTTCTTCAGCATACTCTTGCGATCCATACAATCTTCTTCCCAAAACCTCAACTTCACCTTCAATGGCTTCCATCCTCCTTTGACTGGCATATCCGTCCAAGGAAGTTCCAGCGTCACACCCAAAGGTGTCTTGAAGCTAACCAACCTTAAAAACGTAAGTGGTGGTGGTCACGCCTTCTATAGTAAACAAATCCGGTTCAAAGATTCACCAAACAGCACTGTTTCTTCCTTTTATACGACGTTTGTCTTCGCTATCCGGCCTTTCTTCTGGGGTATTGGCGGACACGGCATGGCCTTTGTCATTGCTCCTAACTTTAGCCTCCCAACATCAGCTTCCAGCCAATCCCTCGGCCTCTCTAATATCATAAACAACGGTAATGATACGAACCATGTATTCGCTGTTGAATTTGATCCCGACGACAACCATGTCGGGATCGATATCAATAGCTTGAAGTCAGTTGAAAGTTCATATGCTGGGTACTGGTACACTAATGATCACTTTAATGAACTGAATTTGGTCAGTAGTAAGCCCATGCAGGTTTGGGTCGATTATGATGGTCATACCCATCAGATCAACGTAACGATGGCTCCATTTAGAAAGGATAAACCTAAAAAACCGCTTGTATCTACTGTCCGAGATCTATCCTCTATTCTTTTGCAAGATATGTTTGTAGGTTTCTCCTCGTCTTCGGCTGATTGGTCTGGTTCAGAACATTTTGTTCTTGGGTGGAGTTTTCGAGTAAAGGGAGAAGCTCCGTTGTTGGCCTTATCAAAACTTCCACGGGTAAAGCAAAGGAGTTGGATGACGTTGATTGTCCTCTTTTTTTTTTCCCTTCTTTTATTTGGCATCTTCTGTGTCTTCCCCCTCTTCATTATTTGCTCGCCCATATGCCTTGTACGCTGCATCTTGAGAAGGAGGAGGAAGTTCGCCGAGGAGATAGAAGATTGGGAAACAGAGTTCGCTAAGAACCGGATGAAGTTCAAGGACTTGTACTATGCCACCAAAGGGTTCAAAGATAACGGCCTTCTTGGAACAGGAGGGTTTGGGAGTGTTTACAAAGGTGTCATGTCCAAGACTCAGAAAGAAATCGCTGTGAAAAGAGTCTCAAACAAATCCCAACAAGGATTGAAAGAGTTCGTGTCTGAGATCGCCAGTATCGGTCGAATGAGTCATCGAAACTTAGTTCCTCTCTTGGGTTATTGTCGACGGATGGATGAGCTTCTTCTGGTGTATGATTACATGCCTAATGGAAGCTTAGACAAGTTTTTGCACAACAGTCCAGAGGTATCTCTCAACTGGAACCAGAGGAATAAAATCATTAACGGCGTGGCCTCAGCTTTATTTTTTCTTCATGAGGAATGGGAACAAGTGGTGATTCACCGTGACATCAAATCCAGCAACGTCATGTTAGACGCGGAGTACAATGGGAGACTTGGAGATTTTGGTTTAGCTCGGTTGTGTGGTCACGGTACCGATCCTCAAACCACAGACGTCGCTGGAACATGGGGCTACCTAGCCCCCGATCACGTCAGGACAGGACGGGCAACGACTGCTACGGATGTTTTTGCCCTTGGGGTGCTCTTACTAGAAGTGGTGTGCGGTAGACGACCTATCGAGTTTCAGAACCGAGAGAGTGGTGAGAGAGTATTTCTGGTCGATTGGGTCTTTCATTTTTGGGTAGACGGAAACATCTTGGATGCGAAAGATCCGAATCTATGGTATGATTATGACCTAACAGAGATGGAAATGGTATTGAAGCTAGGTTTGTTGTGCTCACAGTCCGACCCAGAGAATAGACCAACTATGAGACAGGTGCTACATTATTTAAAGGGAGATGTAATGTTACCAAATCTGTCACCGTCGGACTTGCGTGGGAGCGAGAGATTGTTGGGAATCCCACAAGCGGGATTTAGTGAATCAAGCTTGTTTACCGGTGAATCTTCGATTACTAACTCTGTACTGTCTGGTGGGAGGTGAGTTATGAATATCTGTGTTTTTTGCACAATTGTACTTCATATGTAGAAAGAAGTGATCATAAATATATAGTCTCTACATATATACTGCATGATCAAATCAATGTTGTACGTTAAAATGAAAAAAAATATAAATAATTTGATATTTGTGTTCCATTTTGCGATAGAGACTTATTGACCCACCAGAAGTTTCTTATATCAATAATTTCATACAAACTTGTTATTTCCCAATTCGAAAGATCAAAACACAAACCTACACTTACGTTCTATTTTGATCAAATGGTTTTAAACCTAAAAACCGACCCAACCTGAGATCCAATCAAAAATCTGAGCCAACCTTTGTACCCAACTTTATTGAAGTAAAAAAAGATCCCAAATTAATTTCATTCCCACGAACCCTTGACAATTTTTTTTCTAAATCTTTTGGGTTTCTTCACTAACTACTGTCAAAGATGATGAGCAATGAGTCCCTAAAAACAATTAGTGGGTTTCTTCACTATTTTTTCCGTGAAGCAGAAAAGAATCTAAGTACTCTCGAGGAAGATGGAACTGGGGGAATGACATCAATAATGAATCTGTTTATGAAGGACTCAACTCTCAATTATAATACAAACTAGATTTTGACCCGCGTTTGAAAAACGCGGAAATTTTGTATGATTAAAATTTATATAATTGGATTTTGTCTTAATATAAAGAATATTTTGGGATACAATCAATTCACCAAAATTTGTGGTGATGATTGTTTTTATTAGTTTTTAGTTTTAGTTTTTATTTTTAGATTTTGTTTTAGATTTTGATTTTTGGTTTTAGTTTTTAAGTTTCTATTTTTATTTTCAGTTTCTGGTTTGAGTTTTAATTTTTAGACCTGCTGAGTTAGTTTGAACTGATATTACCAACAAACAAATCCCAAATTATCGAACATCTAATTTAAAACTGAAAAGATGACAAAATTTTTTTTTAAAGAAATTTGCAATATTTTATTTTGTAAATAAAAAATATAACCTGCTTTTGCAGTTTTAGTTTTTAGATTTTGCTTTTGGTTTTGCTTTACATTTTTTTTTAAATCAGTAAATTATTTAAGAGAAATAAAACAATAATTAAGTTAAAAGTCACCACTGAAATTTATCATAACAAAGTGATTGTTATTTAAAATAAAAAATACATTAACATGTTTTAAAGTACATGATTTAAATAAATGATTAATAATAGACAATTTTGTTTTGTTAAAAATATTAAATATCTTTTGGGATTGAAAATAATAACTGATTTTTTGATCCATTAAGGTAGAAAGTTTATTCAATTATTTTTGAAGTTTTTCCTTAATAATAAGCCCAAAAAACAAACTAATTGAATACGCGATTAATAATAACTAATCCTGTTTTGTTAAAAGTATTTAATATTTTTGGACCTGAAAATAGTAATTGATTTTTTGATCCATTAAGGTGAAAAGTTTATTCAATGTTTTTGTGGAGTTTTCTTTAATACTAAGCCCAAAAACCAAACTATATAATTTTTCATAAAAATAAAAGTAAGCCCAAAACTCTATTCCATAAATAACCGCCGGTTTAATTTAAGTAATGCGGTTCAATCAACTATACGACTTGTATTATTTGTAATACTCTAGAAAGAGCTCAAATTTAAATGACAACTTGTATCAGTAGATAAAAATAATGACTCTATTTTAATAGAGTAGATGTTAAAATTGTATTTTATTTGAATTAAAAATGATTGTTCTAAGATTGTTGCTCTAATAGCACAAAATAGACAATGTGGAGAAGTCTAACAAAGTTAATAACCATAACAGAATTAATAACCTTAGACAATTATAGAAAAATGTAAACTCATACTAGATATACACTAGTAAAAATATAGCGCATAGCCACTGAACGTTAGTGGCTATAGAGTTAAAATTCGTGGCTATAAAGAAACAAGCCACGCTTCTGGAAAAGAAAATTACAGTGGCTATATCTTTGTGGCTAGAAGAATACCGTGGCTAAACGTGGCTAAAAGCCATGGTTTTCCCACGTGAAGTTTCGTGGCTAATATACCCACGTTTATAATTAAAAAGCGTAGCTCTGTATAGTGGCTAGTATAGCCACGCATTTCCCACATTTTTTAGAGTGGCTACGCAGCCTCGGTTTCATTTCGTGGCTAGCTAAAGTCAAGGTTTTTTTTTTTAAATTGCCAATTTTGTAAATGGCTTCTTTTAATTAGTTTTAATTTGCCAATTTTGTCAATTTATATTTCCATCCAAATATTTAAAATTTCACTCAATAAAAATAGAAGTTGCAATTATACAAAAGAGTACTAGGTTCAACATTACTAAAACATGCATAATTATACAATGGAATAGTTTTAAAGAGTCTAAAAAGACTCTACAAAAGACATATCTAAAGAGTCTAAGAAGACTCTACCAAAAGACTGAGTTTGATTAAGTTTGTTACAAAAGAGAAGGATGAACTACATACTTCTAAATGCCATCGACAGTTTAAGGCTGAGTAGTTGGGGCCTAAGGCTGAGCAGAAGTCTGTCCAGTTGCTTGTTGGGGGCGCACACTACAAGAAAACACCTCGATTCCTAGGGACATTTTCCTCGGAATATCATCGGAATCAAGCGATTCCGACGATATTCCGAACAAAAAGTCCCTCGGAAAAATCTCCTCGGAATCACAGTATTCCCCGGAATTTCCTCGGAATATTCCGATGACATTCCGACGGACAAAATTCCGAGGACATCCCGAGGAAGTTTTCGATGGAATCATTCGTCGGAATGCCCACGGAAATTTCCGAGGAAAGAAATTTCTCGGAATTTTCCTAGGAAGCATTCCGTCGGAATATTCCGAGGACTTCTAACCCTCGGAAAATTCCGCGGAAAGTTGTTCCTCAGAATAATCCGACGGATTGTCTTCCTGGGAATATACCTAGGAAATTCCAAGGAATGGTATCCCTCAGAATATCCTCGGAATATTCGTAATATTTAAATTTTTAAAAATAATATAAATTTTTTTTTTAAATTAAAATTCGAAAATAAAATTAAAAATTTTTAAATTGAAAATTGAAATTCAAATAAAAAACATAATATTGATAATGTTAAAAAGTAATATTCAAAACAGAAACAAAAAATAAAATTCAAAACAGAAACAAGAAATAAAAAGAACTACTCGTCGTCGTCGTCGAAGTTATGGTCTGGGAATTGCTTCAAGAACGCCTCCATCATTCTCTCATTCCGCCTCCTTTCTTTGTTACTAGCAGCCTCTTGAGCCACCATCTTCGCCTCCAACATAGCGATGCGGTCATCCTTATCCTTCAGTTGATCTATCAGCATAGGATCAACTGGCACCTGGGATGTAGAAGGAATCGGCTTGGATCGACGACCCAAACCGACTATACGTCCCTTCTTCTTTGGAATCGCCTGAAAAAGAAAATTTAAAATTATAATCATAGAAAAAAAATTATAAATCAAATAAATGAATTGAATATTTAGAAAATATCTTACCGATACAAGAAGCTCGTCGATTCGAACTTTGGAGAGGGCAGTCGATGCAGTGGATGTGGAGTCGAGATCGGCCTGGATCTGGGAGAGACGGGCCTCTTCTTCTTCCCTCATACTGTCCACCAGGGAGACCACTTCCTGCGCAAGACCGTCATCAATCTGGCCCGTCGTCTTGTTGGTGTGGATCCTCTTGTACAAATCGTAATCACCAACGGTCTCGTCATCATTTTCTTCCGCCTAGGAAAACACATAAGTTAAAAAAAACATTAGAATACAGAAAAAATAAAAATATTTAAAATTTTAGAAGAAAAGGAGTTTCAACTTACCAATTTGTCTGCGAGAGTGGGAATAGACTGAGCACCCAAATTGTGCACGAAGATGCCCTTCCCGCCACGATCGCTCTTGCGGTTGGTGGAGTTGGTGTTAGAGATCTCCTTCGTCTCGGTCTTGTTCCAATGGATACACAACTCCTGCCAGACCGTCATGTTGATCGATTTTGGGACTTTTTAATGAAAAAAAGAATATGAAAAAGTTAAATACAATGAAAAATATATTAATAAAGTAAAAAAGATAGTACCTTATTCTTGAGCCACTTTTGCTTCCACTCATATATTTGCCTTCCATAGTTCTCCATAGACTTATGGACGAAGGCGTTACTGATGAACGTCGTGTTATCGGGATGCCAGGTGAACTCTTGCTAAAAAAAAACCTGATTAGTAAAAATATAATATTAAAGAAAAAAAAAGAAATTTAAAAAAGTTAGAATTCTTACAGCAAACTGACGAAACCACAACTCCTCGTTGTCAGGCATCACCGAGAAGGTTTTGTATCCCCTCCTGAGGTCGGAGTACATCATCCTGTTGATCCAAGCGCTGATCCCGTTATGGGATCGGTCAAACCTAATATTAAAAACAAATTATTAATAATGAATCAAATTTTTAAAAGAAAGAAAAAAAAAACTTTCACTTACAAGGTCTGACTGTGTCCCCTAGGATACTGAGTGAGATAGGGGAGATGCTCACGACCTGGCTGTGCAACAGACATCACTCCTGAAGCGACAGGAGGCTCGGGCATGTCCGGAAAGTCGTGAACGACAGGAGGAGCCTCAGCAGCGATCGGAGGAACCGCCTTATGAACCGGAGCGGGATGGATGTTTTGCGATGATGAAGAGGAACCCCGAGACAGGTTGGACGAAACCCGAGAAGGGGTCGTCGAAGGACCACGGCCTCGCGGTGCGGAACGACGAGGTCGAGCCCTCGTACTCTGCTCACCTGAATCCCTATAATTTTTTAAAAATAAAGATTTAAAATTAGTTTTTAAAAATATAAATGAAAAATTAAGTATTAAAAGAATATTTAAATTAATATAGAAATAATTAAAAAATAAAAATTGTTATAAAAATACAAAAATAGTTTCATAATTAAAAAAAATATTTCTAACTTATAAAAATTGCTAAAATAATTATTAAATTACTTTTAAACTTATTTAGAAATTATACAAATGGCTAAAATA